TAATGGGATTTTCAGTTTCTGTCCTTGTGTAAAACTTAGGGGGCTAAAAAGCCCTTAAGGTTAGTCTAATGAAAACCTTAAGAAATCAGAGATGAAACCCTAAAATTCAAATCACAAAGCTTCTATCTATAAAAAAAAAAAAAAAAAAGAATTGATTCTCTACAGCTTAAGAAAAGAATCAATTGATAAATGTTGTAGGAAACTTGAAATGGTCTCTGAATTTTAAACCCCAAAGGATTGGGATGGCGATCCCCCTCAACATAGAAATGATTGCAGAAAGCGGTTAGACGATGAAGTAATTTCAGGAGAGGCTGGAAATGATGCATAAGAAACCTAATTTATTTTGCTTTTTTCTACAGCAGCAGAAAAACAGAGCAATTACCCATTGCATAGCTCACATCCAAATCTCATCTCTTCACTGCAATGCTAGCCGATTCTGGCCAGAATTATCCTCACAATGCTCATGACTTCACCTGGTCTGCTTCGATAATGAGAGAAAATATTTTTTAAAACCCTTTAATTGCAGAATCTTATACTAACATGTGCCATTTCGTTCTCTGCAATAGGTCTAGACTTTTCCTTTGTGTCTCCATGGCAACCATCAGAGTTCAGGTTGGGGATCGTGCTAATGCCTTGCTGTCTACAACAGATTTTAATATCCTTCTTTCTTACATACCTTATTTAACTTATTTCAGTTAATTAGATAGGTTACATGGTTGTAGTTAGACTACAATATATGGTTTTATAATATAAACTATAACACGACTATAGCTACATACTTACAGATCATTTTATCTGTCTAGTTTTATGATCACAACCACAAATTTCATGGTAAGACCTTCTGATTTAGAATTCATGAACATCTACTAGTGAATGTCATTTCAAACCTAAATTCCTGTGGTCAGTTTCCAAGTTTACATGTCACTATTTTTTCCATTACTATACTATAATACCTTACTTAATAACCCAGTGCATCTAATTTAGACAAGTAAATATGGTACTTATAAATATTGCATATATTAAAAAAGCCATTTGCAAAGAATAAAAGGAAACAAAGAAATACAGCTAACACTCTTATCTACCACCCACTGTACAAAAATCATAGTATCACATTACCTTTCTGTTTGGTGCTGAATCCATCCACTCCCCATTCTATTAGAGGTAACTACTATCCTAAATTGTGTTTTCTTTCTTCTTTTTTTTCCTTGCAATTCTTTTTTTTAAGTTTGCTTATTATTTGTTTTTGAAGAGAGAGAAAGAGTGCAGGAATGAGGGAGGGGTCAGAGAGAGAGAGAGGGAGAGAGAGAATCCTAAGCAGGCTCTGCTCTGTCAGCATGGAGCCTGATGCAGGGGCTCAAACTCACGAATACTGAAATCATGGCCTGAGCTGAAGTCAGATGCTTAACCAACTGAGCCACCCAGGGGGTCCCAAAATTGTGTTTTCAACATTATTTTGTTTCTCAGTATACTTTTACCACATACAGTTATCCTCCTAAATAATAATTTATGTGCCCATATTTTTCACTTCTATTAATAATAAAATCATATTGTATGTATCATTCCAAGATTTGCTCTGATTATTCAACAAATTCCTAAGATTCATCAACTTTCACTGCTGAGTAGTATTTTTTGTATGACTATACCATAGCAAGTTTATTCATCCAATCATGGGTACATTCATGTTTTTTTTCCAGTATATTTTTAATACAAGCAATGGTACCACAAATATGCCCAATAGTCACGGATGAGTGGCACACAGATGAGGAAGGAAATGGAATAGCCAGGTCACAGGTGAGAGCATCTTCCATTTGGGGGGGCAGGGGGCTGACAAATACTTTCCACAGAGCAGGAAAGTCCACCTGCAACAGTAGCGTGTATGAATTATGGGAGCCGCACATTCCCACCTAAAATTGTTACTCTCAGACTTTGTAATATTTCCCAACTTTGTGGGAGCAAATGCTTTTACTATGTGAGTTACAGTAAATCTATTTCTGATTACTAAAGGTGATGAGCACATTCTCATATTTTGATTGGCCATTCCAGTCGGAGGTACAAATCTATGTCTTTTATCACTTCACTTTTTTTCCCCCTATAGGTTTATTAAATTATTTATAAATACATAATATTATTTTCAGTTATATTCATTGACACTGATTTTTTTTCCTGGTTGTGGCTTCTTTTCACTTTCTTCCTGTGGTCTTTTGATAAAAAGGGGTTCTGAAAATCAAATGTAGTCAAATTGCCCTTAGTGATTTATTTAATGGAGCTTTAGTATGTCTTGTATAAGAAAACATACCTACCCTGCAATCATAAATACATTGTTTGAGTCATTTTCTAATTTTAAAAAATATTTTTTCTATTCAAAGTTTAGGTTTTAATCTACCTGGGATGGATTTTTTACATAATTTGAGATAAGACTCTAAATAAATGTATCTCTACATGGACAATCAGTTGGAAGGAAAGAAGGAAAGAAGAAAGGAAAGAAGGAAAGAAGGAAGGAAGGAAGGAAGGGGAAAAGAGAAGAAAAAAAGGAAGAAAATACATGCTAGTGTTTTCATAGTGCTTTCACATGTACAAGGGTTTGTTTCTGGGTTCTCTGTGCTGCTCCATTTATATAATCCTATGCAAAGCCATATTGGTTTAGTCACTGAAGTTTTACATTGAACCTTGTTATCTGATAAGGCCAAGTCCTCTTGACTTGTTCTTATTCTTCAAGATTTTCTACAAAATTTTTCCTTTTGCTTTTCAAATTTATTTTTGAAAATACATTGAATGAGCTGGTCACATTGCATAAACATGTAAAAAACAAACTAGTGACCGGATTTGAATCACTCATTTACTGAGTCATGGAGAGTTGACATTTTAGTTTTACTAAGTCTCCAAGTCTATGAAAAAGGTATATTTTTTCTATTTGTCTAGATCTTTTAAAAATATTTTTCAACTATAAAGGTTTCACACCTCCTTCTTGGATTTATTTTCTGCTTCTACATTATTTTATCCGAACAATTATTTTAGAGTATATTCTGTTGCCTTAAGTTAGCTCACGCATTTTCATCTTAAAACTATGTTACCTAAAAACCTTAAATCACTGGGGCACCTGGGGGGCTCAGTAGGTTAAGCATCTGATTTTGGCTCAGGTCATGATCCTGGAGCCTGCTTCAGATTCTGTGTCTCCCTCCCTTTCTCTGCCCCTCCCCCAATTGTTCTCTCTCTCTCTCTGTCTCAAAAATAAATAAACATTAAAAAATAAAAATAAAAAAGCTTCAGTCACTAATTTTCACCCCTTCTTTTCTAACGTGTGTTTCTAAGATGAAAAATATCTGTTTAAATAATGCTTTGGCTGCCTCAAGCATGTTTTGTTATGTAGAATTTCTACTATCGTCCCTTCAAAGTATGTTTCATCTTCTTTTGCCATTTCTTATTTGACCTATGAATTTCTTAGACATTTGTTTATTACTTTTCAGAGATATAAACTTCTCTAATTTTGTTGCTATTATTGATTTATAACTCAAGTGCATTTGGGTCATATTTATTTCACAGCTAATATGTCATCAAATATTCAAAAAAAAATGGATTCTGCAGTTCTAGGTGCAACGTTCTATACGTGTTCATTAGTTGGAACTTATAACTGGGTTCTTTAAATCTTCTACGTACTTGCTGATGTTTTCTCTGCTTGAACTACCAAAAAATAAAACAGAGATTTTGATATCTTTCATTATTATGATGGATTTATCTATTTCAACACTTACAGTTCTATTTTTGCTTCAAATATTTTAATATTACATATGCCTAGGGAATTAATCTTCGGGAAGCCTTTTAGAAATAAATTCTAGGGGCACCTGGGTGACTTAGTTAAGTGTCCAACTTCAGCTCAGGCTATGATCATGGTTCATGAGTTCAAGCCCTGCGCCAGGTTCTGTGCTGACAGCTCTGAGCCTAAAGCCTACTTCAGATTCTGTGTCTCTCTCTTTCTCTGCCCCTACTCTGCTCATGCTCTGTCTCTCTCTCTCTCTCTCTCAAAAATAAACATAAAAAACACACATTAATTCAGATATTCCCACTTTGTTTTGAATAACATTTTTATCTAGAACATTATTTCCATCTTTTAGTTTTAACAACTCTGTACCCTATGGTTTAGATGTGTTATGAGGTAAACAACCCACACCTTTCTTTAAAAAGAAAAAAAAAAAAAACTTTAAGCATTTAGTGTATTAAGTTTCATCTTCAATAATTCATATATTTGGATTTTTTGCACAGTTTTTTCTTTTTCTCACATTTCTTACCTTCTCCTTCAAACAGCAGAGCCTGCTAAACATTCATATTTTACTCAATACTTTTAATGTAATTACTTTATAAATCTTAAGATGCATACTTAACTTGTAAGACTCTAAATTCTCCTCTAGAATAATATAAGGACTTTAGAATAATTGAAATCCAGTTCCCTGTCTAATTTTTTAGGATGAGTCTTTTCATTATTTATTTTTCTGAGGTTTGTACATTCTCACTTCCTCCAGCATAAAGTGTCCATATCCTGGAAAGGCGATGACTTATCACATAAGGCTCACATGGTACACTTCCAGGATGATACTATTTCCATCTGCTGGGACCTCCGAGAGGTTGCATGGAGAACAACTAGCCTGAAGAGCTGCCAGGCCCACAGCCAACCACATAATCAGGAAATAAACGCAGGGGCTTGGAGAATACTTGTTACGGCAACAGAATTAAGCCACATCTAACCCATGCATTTAGCTTAATTCTCTCATCTTCTGAGGCAAAGCAGACTCTATTTTTTCCCATGTTGGATATAAGAATATTGTAACACAGCAAAATTATGCTGCTTTTCAAAGACCATACTTTAAAGTATCAAGACCTAGAAGACAATTTCCGTTATAATGAAATATAAGGCATACATAAGCTGGTAATAAGTTACAGATGTGTTGCTATTCTACTCATATCCTCACTACACATTTGTAATAAGGAATCTCCATTGTAATACTTACTTGGAACTATAAATTCTATTTCTTCTGACATAGCAACTCCCAGTTTATTAGAAGCAAAGCAGCGGTATTTCCCTTGAAAATGAGATATGTGCCCCTCATTCGGGATCTTAAATGTTCCTGAGTTGTTAGACACAATGATCCGGGAGTCAGAGAGATCAAAAAGCTTGTCATCCTTAGTCCACATAAATCTATAAGATAAAACAAAAGCAAATAATCCTGAAAAGTCAAAATGTATTTCTTAATTTTAAAGTAGTCATAAACAAATGCACAATAATGACAAAACCAAGACATTTTATGGTTTAAGAAAAAAAGATTTTTATTTGACTATATAATAGAATACCAAAACAAGTCTGAGAAGAGTCTGAGAAATCTCACAAGTTGCAGTAGACTGAATGCTTATGTCTCCCCCAAATTCATATACTCAAGCCCAATCCCTTAATGTAAGAGTATTTGGAGGTAGGGGATCTGGGAGATAATGAGGTCATGAGGGTGTAGTTCTCATGAATGGGATTAGCATCCTTATAAAGGAGACTCCAGAGAGCACTTTTGCTCTCTTATGCCATGCGAGTTTACAGCAAGAAAACTGCTGTTTATGAACTAGAAAGTGGGTCCTCATCAGACACCAAATCAGCCAAGGCCTTAATATTGGTCTGCCGAGCCTCCAGGACTGTGTGACAAATGTGTGCTTGTTGTTTAAGCTACCCAGTCTATAGCAAATTTGTTATAGCAGGGTGAACCAAGACCAAGCCATAAAAAAGTTGTGACAGCCGAGAGAGCAGAAATTGAAGACAGGTTTTATTCTATTCTTTTTGAAGTTATTTTAACTTTTCCAATTGGAAAGGTATTTTACTAGTATCTCAAAGACTACTCAGTATAAACATATATTGTGTCATTGTGTGTGTATGTGAAAAGCTAACCCAAAATTTTAAAAAGAAGTACTATTAAATGTGATATTTCCTAACAATACTTTTAGACATATTAGTAACATATTTGACACTACAATGAATATATAACTTTGAAAAATGAGTGCTTCTAATTAGTACAATGCTACTAAAGACAGTTCTAGGACTACATTATCTTCTGTCATATGATTACTGTTTACGTTACTCAATCATTTGCATTTTATCCCTTTTATAAACTAATTGTGCTAAACAACCTTAACATACTTAGTTTTTGGTACTGATCTAATAATTCATTAGGACAATCTCTTAAAAGCAAGATTGATAGACAAATAACATAAGAAAATTTTAATAGTTGTTGATAAATGTTGCAGAATTGTATTCCAGAAAAAAACCTACTCAGTTAAATTCTCACCAGAGTATGTGACCACCATATCATTTGTATGGATGAGGCTCTAAAAAGAAAGTCTTTTTTAAAAACAACCTTATCAATCTAATAATGACTTCCCAACTTGATCTTAGTTAGCATTTCATATATAAATTACCCAAGCAAACTGGGTAATGTTTCAGGACACCATATTCTTACACTAACTTATCTGATTATTCTCTCGACACAAATAACAAACCTTCAAGAGACACATATTTTTGTCAGGAGTATGCCTGTCTCCCATTCCACTCCTTTTACTTCTTTCTCTCTGTGATTTATATTTTAGGGGCTTTACTTACAAAGAACACAAAGAATCTATTCTTGTTAATACTACATGGCAGTGAGAAAGTATGAAATCTGGCCATGTGTAGCAACATGGATGGACCTTGAGGGTGTTATGCTGAGGGAAATAAGTCAGGCAGAGAAGGACAAATATCATATGTTTGCACGTATAGGAGGATTAGGAGGAACTTAACGGACAACCATGGGTGAGAAGAAGGGGAAAAATAGTGGGGGAGAGGGAGGGAGGCAAACCATGAGTGACTTTTGAATGCTGAGAACAAACTGAGGAGTGATGAGGGTGGGGGGGAGGTAAAGGGGGGTGATGGGCAGGGAAGAGGGCACTTGTGCGGATGAGCACTGGGTGTTATATGGAAACCAACTTGACAACAAACTATTAAAAAAAAAAGAATCTATTCTTGTTAAATTCTAGTATGTTGACTGGGATCACTTTACATATACAGAATTAAACACTTCCACTTGGCAATATGTTACATCTTTTCATTTCTTCAAATCTTTGTTTCTGATCCTAGGTAGAGTTTTGTAGTCACCATACCCAACAAAGCCTGCATAGGTCTTGTAATATACTATTTTATATTGTTTTAGTTGATGTCGCTACCACTAATGGTAAGATTGCTAGATTTTTTAATTGCTAGTGTGATGGGATATTTTTCCCTTCTTGTTTCTCATTTATTTTCTAACTGCCTTGCATGGACATCTAATTGAGGTTTTTAAAAAAGTATTATTTATAATTGGCCACTTATTGTAACCCTTTATATTTATAAAAGCTTGTTTTTGTCCAGGGAATGAATATTCTTGGGGTTTTAGGTACAATAACAAGTTAAATAATAATAATAATATATGTTAATATTCATATTTTCTCATATGTATACATTTTATTTTATTTTATTACATAATTATATTGGACTTGGCTAGAGGAAAATAAGAAATAATGTTACGAACAGACATTCTAATCTTTTTTCTGATTTTATTGTAAATTCTAGTTTTATTTTTTATTTATATTTTTTTTTTTTATTTTTTTATTATTTTTTATTTATTTTTTTTAATTATTTTGTTTTTTTTTTTGATATAATTTTTTATTTTTTTTATATTTTTTTTTATTTTTTTTTTTGTTTTATTTTTTTTATTTTATTTTTTTTATTTATTTTTTTTTCTTTTTTTATATTTCTTTTTTTTTTTTTATTTTTTAATTTAATTTTTTTTTTTTGTTATTTTTTAGTAATTATTTTTATTTTAATTTTTTTATTTTTTTTTATGTTTTTTTTTTTTTTTTTTAAATTTTTTTTTTATATTTATTTGTTTTATTTTTTTATTTTTATTAATTATTTTTTTTTTTATTTTTATTTTTTTATTTTATTTTTTTTTTTTATTCATTTTATTATTTTTTTATTTTTTTTTTTTTTTTTATTATTTCTTATTTTATTATTTATATTTTTTTTTATTTTTTTTTTCTTTTTTTTTTCAATTTTAATATATTTTTTTTTTTTTTTTAAATTTTTTTTGTTTTTTTTTTAATGTTTTTTTATTTTTTTTTTTTTTTTTTTTTATTATTATTTATCTATTTATTTTTTTTTTTATATTTTTTTTTTTTTTTATTATTTTTTCATTTTTTATTACTTAATTTTTTTATATTTTTAATTTTATTTATTTTTTTTTTTATTTTATTTTTTTTTTTTTTTATTTATTACTAGTATTTACAATAAATTCAGAAATATGATTAGAATGTCTGTTCGTAACATTATTTTCCTCTAGCCAAGTCCAATATAATTATGTAATAAAATAAAATAAAATGTATACATATGAGAAAATATGATTATTAACATATATTATTATTATTATTTAACTTGTTATTGTACCTAAAACCCCAAGAATATTCATTCCCTGGACAAAAACAAGCTTTTATAAATATAAAGGGTTACAATAAGTGGCCAATTATAAATAATACTTTTTTAAAAATCTCAATTAGATGTCCATGCAAGGCAGTTAGAAAATAAATGAGAAACAAGAAGGGAAAAATATCCCATCACACTAGCAAAGGAAAAAATCTAGCAATCTTATCATTAGTGGTAGCGACGTCAACTAAAACAATATAAAATAGTATATTACAAGACCTATGCAGGCTTTGTTGGGTATGGTGACTACAAAACTCTACCTAGGATCGGAAACAAAGATTTGAAGAAATGAAAAGATGTAACATATTGCCAAGTGGAAGTGTTTACTTCTGTATATGTAAAGTGATCCCAGAATTTAAGACTTAACATGTAAGACTTAACAAATGCTATCTTTCACTAAGTAGAATAAAGGATCTTCTCGGTTTTAGCTACCTTTTTCACTTGTAACGTAAGGAATGATCAAATATTTCCATGGTGCCAAAGTCCATGTTAAGTATTTAACATAAGGTAATTTATTTAACAGTAAAACTAATTTCAACTTGCAGAAGAACATATATAAAATAGCCAAACTTTATCTTCATAGACATAGCTATCATTCTTTTGTCAACCCTTACATTAGTCATATGTAGATTTACAGTCCAACAAGCTTATAGTGGTCAGAATACAAAAAAGCAAAAATACTGTATGCATTTAAACAATGATTTGTTTGAAGGAATACTCACGTTGGTTCTGGATTTCCTTTAGCTTCACATTCAATTTGAAAATATTCATCAAAGGGAAAGGCAACTTGCACTTTTGACTGTTTTATGATTGTTGGAACCTGCTGAACTAAATATCAAAATATGTATGTAAAGAACATGGTCTGCAAAACTGGGTGAGGTTAATTTAGCTATAACGGAAACAACTGAAATACTTTGTAAGGGAGGCTGGCTGGTTCAGTCAGTAGAGCATATGACTCTTGATCTCAGGGTTGAGAGTTCATTCCCTATATTGGGTATAGAGATTACTTAAAAATAAATTTTTTAAAAGAAAACATGCTTTTTATATTGATAGGTAAAAGAACCATAAGAGTGAAAATTACAGAACAAAATTGACTTTCTCTTTGAAAAATGTATTTAATTAATTTTTCTGAGGTGTGTACTCTTGGGTCATTTCTTACAAATTCCAGTATAGTTAACACATGACGTTATATTAATTCAGGTGTACAATACAGCAAATCAACACTTCTATGCATTACTCAGCGTTCATCGTGATGAGTGTATCCTCATCACCTATTATACCCATCCCTTCTCTTATCTCCCTTCTGATAACCATCAGTTTGTTCTCTATAGTTAAGAGCCTGTTTATCTCCTTTTTCCCTTTATTCATTTGTTTTTTTTTCTTAAATTCCACATATTACTGAAATCATATGGTATGTGTCCTTCTCTGATTGTCTTTATTTTTTAATGTTTATTTTTGAAAGAGAGAGTGCATGTGTGCATGCACGAGTGGGGGAAGGGGCAGAGAGAGAGGGGGACAAAGGATTGGAAGAGGGCTCAGCAAGCTCCATATGGGCCTGGAACTCACAAACCATGACATCATGGCCTGAGCCAAAGTTGGATGCTCAACGAACTGAGCCACCCAGATGCTCTGACTGACTTCTTTCACTTAGCTCTATACCCTCTAGATCTATCCATGTTATTGCAAATGGCAAGATTTCGTTCATTTTTATGGTTGAGTAATATTCCATTACGTATATACATATATATATATATACACATACCACTTCATCTATATCATTTCTTCTATCTATATCAATGGATACTTGGGGTGCTTCCATAATTTGACTACTGTAAATAATGTTGCAATAAACACAGGGATGTATATATCTTTTCAAATTCATGTCTCTGTATTCTTTGGGTAAATATCAAGTAGTGGAATATCTGGATTATGTGGTAATTCTATTTTAACTTTTTTGAGGAACCTTCACACTATTTTCCATGGTGGCTGCACAAGTTTGCTCTCCCACCTACAGTGTATGAAGGTTCCTTTTTCTCCACATCTTCGCCCACATCTGTTGTTTCTTGTGTTTTCGATTTTAGCCATTCTGACAGGTGTGAGGTAATGTCTCACTGTGGTCTAATTTACATTTCCCTGATGATTAGTGATATTGAGCATCTTTTCATGTGTCTATTGGCCATATGTATCTCTTCTTTGGAAAAATGTCTTTGTCTTCTACCTATTTTTAATTAGATTATGCAAAATGTCTTTAATTTTAAAGAATATATACACTTTACTGCTACCATTTCATTTCATGTTGCCATACATGTTCATTTTATTTAAACCCAGAATAAAGAAACAATTTGTAAAGCAGAAGAAAGACAGTCATATCATTACAACTTTAAAGTCTCTATTTTTAAATTATTGGCATTTAGTCTATTTGATGTGTATATATATTTTTTAATTTAGTTCAATCATTTTGACAATTGCTTTTTTATTTATAGTGTTCTAAGACATTATAATTAATTTACTACTTTTACATTCTTTATTTCCATTATTTTATCATCACTTATTTGATAATTTTCTTATTTTTGGACATTTTTTTCATTTTTCTGTTTCCAGGTAACATATACTTCCATAAATATCTTCAAGCATATAAATTTTTCTGTTACTGAATTAGTGACTTATGATAAACTTCCAGGCATGGACACAAATAGTATTTACTCTGGATAAATGATGACATCATTTCACAAGAGGACATTTATTATAGACAAAATATGAATACAGCAGTTTCCAACATCCTTGTCCCAAATGAACACCAGCATTTAAAAATGATAAAATTTTTTGCTAATTTTACAAAGGTAATTATAACCTGCTCTATTTTTATTTCTACTTATTGCTTTTGTTAGTAAGTATTTTTCCCTGGGTTTGTTTATTATTTGTCATTTCCCATTTATAAGTTTTCCTTTCATTATTACTGGGATCCTGAGGTTACTTTTTTCTCCCTTTATCTAATTCAACACTAATAATCATCCATAAAAATACATTGTGGTATTTTTAAATAGATTCTACATATTCAAGTACTCCTGGTCTTGTGAAAAACTTGGTTAGTGTGTGACAAGTTAGATAACCTTCAAGACACTTAAGGGGCGCTTGGGTGGGTCAGTTGGTTAAGCATCAGATTTTGGCTCAGGTCATGATCTTATGGTTCATGGATTTGAACCCCAAGTCCACCTCTGTGCCAATACCTCGGAGCCCGGAGTTGGCTTGGATTCTGTTCTCTCTCTGCCCTCCCCTGCTTGTGCTCTGTCTTTCTCTCTCAAAAATAAACATTTTAAAAAGTTGAAAAAAAAGGAAAAACTTAAAAATTGGGCGGATGACTTTCTCTCTCATCAAGTGAAGTAGCCAGATGGCATTTCAGAGAACTGTGTTTACAAAATAAATATATTCATGCTAAAGATACGAACATGAATAAAGTTTTGAAGGGGGACACGGATGTATGTAAAGCTCTACTATCAGTGAGCAGTCGACAATTTGCAAAGTGATACATTACCATTTGATACAGTTCCTACAATCTCTAGAAAGGAAGGTGACAGCAATAAATTATTAAGGAAATGTAAATGATTCAGCTTCAGGAAACCGACTTAGGCAAGTATGTTTTAAAGAAAGCAATCTGCAGAAAGGCACTGAGCCTGACTTTTCTAAGTAATATTCCACATTGGAGTTACAAATAGGACCCTAAACCCTGTGACATTTAGCCAGGCCCTGAGCCACTCTGTTTTCTCATTTGTAAAATTAGGGATTCAAGCTAGATAAACTGCTATTAAGAATTTCTGGTCTTGGGATCCCTTTACATTCTTAAAAATTATAGGAGACTTTAAGATGCGTTTGTTCACGTGGATTATATCTAAGAATATTTTCCATATTAGAAATCAAAACTGAGAAATATTTAAAATAATTCTTTATTAATCCATTTTAAATAATTGTATGTATTAAAATAAACATCTATTTTATCAACAAAACTGAATATAATGAGGATGGTGGCATTGTTCTTACATTATAGGAAATCTCTTTAATATCTTCATAGAAGGCAGCTGGATTCTCAAATCTACTTCTACATTCAGTCTGTCACAAAAGTTGTTTTGCTTAAATATATGAAGAAAATCTAGCCTTACACCGATAACGTACTTGGTAAAGTGTGAGATATTTTATCTTCCTTTCTGATGATTGTTGACATTTTTCTTAAATATACACCAGAACTCAACAAGTAGTAGTTTCTTAAACATTTACTCCAACATGAAATCTGAAGTCATAGCAATGAACTTTTCATATTCTTGTTATATTAAAATATTTTATGCATGGGTTCCTTTTTTTTAAGATTTTATTTTTTAAGCAATTTCTATACCAAACACGGGGTTCATACTCATAACCCTGAAATCAAGAGTCGAATACTCCACCAACTGAGCCAGCTAGGCACAACATCCATGGGTTCTTTTGAATCCATGTATAATTTTGTAACAATATACGATAATCATTTGGGAAAAATAAATACTGGTTCATTGACCCTGAGAGGGCCATGGTTCACATTTTAAACAGTGATGGCCAGCCTACAATAAATAACTCAATGCTATTATTTCTAAATCTAAAAACATAATTTTGGCTTAAGGAATCTGATAATTCAGTTTTACTAGTCTAGGGACATTAGTCCAAGTTTAGTTTTTATCCATAGGACATTAATGAATATTTTAACAACATGCAAAAAACATTTATACCTTCAGTGACATTTACCTCATTTCTGATTGCTACTATTTCTAAGTAGGACAAGTCTTGAGCTTATTGCAAATTCTCTTTATTTAAATTTTATTACAGTTACAAAGGATGAGGGATGACGTGCAAGAGTCCCTAAGATATCAGCTAACAACTTGTGAGCAACTTGTTTATTAGAACATTATTCTTTCTTAAATTTGCTAAGGTTGTAAAGTCTCAGCAATAGCTAATTACTCGGGGAATGGAACTAATCACCTTTGGGTGTTTATAAGAATATATATTCTACATTATAAATCCTTTCCTCCATAATTATGCCAATTACAGAGATACCAGACTCATTGACATTCAAACTGGATACCTGCCTTAGTTGCATTTGCTAGTGAGTGCTCTAGAGTACCGAAATAAATGGATAAGATTCAGTTGTTCTGAAAACATGTCATTAATATTTTATAACAATTGTTGTCCAAGGACATTTGAGCATGAAAATGCATAAGCAATTGAGACAACCAGAATAAAAATGTGTGCTATGGATTAATACAAACTTTCAAATTCTTTTCTTTTAATTAAAAAAAATTAATGTTTATTATTGAGAGACAGAGAGATACAGAACATGAGCAGGGAAGGGACAGAGAGAGAGGGAGACACAGAATCTGAAGCAGGCTCCAGGCTCTGAGCTGTGAGCACAGAGCCCAACATGGGGCTCTAACATCACGAATCACAAGATCATGATCTGAACTGAAGTCAGATGCTCAACTGACTAAGCCGCCCAGATGCCCCAGTAAACTTTGAAATTCTTTACCACTGATGAACTAAATGAGAAAAGAGGGAATATACATTTGAAAATGTATATTTTAAGAGAATATGGTCAGGAATCTGAATCTGGAATCTCTGCATCTTTGTTTCTACTGGGGGTGTGGGGGTGGGGGGAAATGTAAGATATTAACCCCTTTCTCACAAGGATCACCAAGCACTTTGCTCTAAATTTGGTATCACACTCAAATCAAAAGAATCTGCTGAAGATGACTTATTTCCAGCTCTTGATCAGAATGTTCACAACTAGGCTGGTGTACATTGTGTGTAGGCTCAGAGTACATCTACAGAACAGATAAGTGGAATTGCTTAATAAGTAAGAATATCCGGAGAGACTTGACAATCTGTCTAAGACACTGGATAAGGGATTCTCACTTAGGGCTGAATTAATAGGGCAGGGCTGCCCAAAGTGTGTGATGTGAAAGTGCTGTGGGAAGTAATTTAAAGCGGCCCTCAGAAAAATGGTTTAAAAACACATTATATTATACAGTCAGAGACTTACTTCCTTTTCTATTCACATTCAGATTAAGTAATTCAGAAGAAAAGTTTCATTTCAGAGTTAGTACTTCTCTTAATCTTTATTCAGCTTGCTGAACTCCTCTAATTGTCTGGAACTTAGAGGATGTGAGAAGATCATTTCCAATGCTAAGATTCAATTAAACAAGCAATGCCTCTTGTATTACAAATCTCCAAATCACATATGGAAAAGACAGCAGGGATAATACAGGAAACGTATGGATAAAAATATCTAAATAACCTCTCAAGGGTGTTTTGTATCCTATGTCCTTACAACACAAGACAAATTCCCCAAATCTCTATGTTATGTAGCTGATACAGTACTAAATGAACTGTGTATGTTATGATATGTATTTCCATAAAACCACTGACCTCTTGATATGAATTCACACTACTGAATGCTCTACATTTTCAGAGTTGAAATCATCTTATATTTTTAGTTGTATAAAAATGGCTTTTTAATATTTTCTTAATTCACTGTTTTCATTCTTTTTTTTTTTTAATGTTTTTTATTTATTTCTGGGAGAGAGAGAGACAGTGTGAGAAGGGGAGGGTCAGAGAGAGACAGAGAAACAGAATCTGAAGCAGGCTCCAGGCTCTGAGCTAGCTGTCAGCACAGAGCCCGACGTGGGGCTCGAACCCACTAACTGTGAGATCATGAGCTGAGCCGAAGTCGGACGCTTAACCGACTGAGTCACCCAAGCGCCCCTTTCATTCTTTTTTTAATGTTTTTTTTTTTTTTTGAGAGACAGATGGAGAAAGACAGAGAGAGAGAGAGAGAGAGAGAGAGGAGGAGGAAGAGGAGAAGGGGAAAGATTGAGTTGGGGAGGAAGAGAGACAGAGGGAGGCAAAGAATCCCAAGAAGGCTCTGCACTGTCAGCAGAGAGCCCAATCCCATGAACCACGAGACCTTGACTTGAGCCAAAATCAAGAGTGGGACGCTTAACAAAATGAGCTACCCAGGTGCCCCCACTATTTTCATTCATAAATATATAATCATTTTGAAAAAAATATATACAAAGTTTATTCAGTTTCTTTTTCTCATAGTTGGTTTATTAGCATTAATCTCTGAATCATGATTCTCCCTAAAATAAACTAAGGAAACATAGAAAAGTAACAGCTGTTGATAATAGTGAGGAATATCTTTTACAGCAAAACACCTGATCTACAGGTTATGTTTCTTGTTATGTGTCAATTTTGCATAAGAGGCAAAAAGCCTGAGCTGGAAAATAATTGTAACAAGCATCCAAATACAAGCCATCCAAATTTTTAAAAAGACAGTGACAAAATCTGATAACAGATTGCTGGAAATAAATAGAAATATGATAGAAAAATCACATCCTCAAGCTACAGGTATTCTACTTAAAAATGAAAATGCAAATATGAAATTCCATAAAGTAGGTATTGAACGCTGTCACTTTACCTGAAAGTGGTATTTCAGTGGCTGTGCAGAATTTGAACAGGAAACAAATTAGAGACACGATTAATCCTCTTCCACCTAACAGGACCTCCATTGCTCCTCAGGAAGGAGGCAACTTAGGAAGAATGAAAATGGTAGTGTCTCCTTTTACTTTTGGTTTAAAGCCAAGCAAAACGCAGTTCACCTGGAAACTCAAAAAGAAACAGAAAGACATATACTTTAAGCTCATGTACTCTGAAATGACAGTATAATATAAATAAATATTTCTGCTGCAATAATTTTCCTCTTGATGAAACTGTTTTCTAGTAAATAATTAGTTTTGCTACTTGTTTTTTTTTTTTTTTTAACAGTTGATATAAGCTATATTGTAAACCACAAGCCATTCCAACGAATTATGTTTTTCAGCCAGAGGACTTTTTGCTTCAAAGCACTCAAGGCCACTAGAATGGGGGTGGGTGTCAGTGACTATGAGAATAACTTCAAAATGTTGCTCTTTTTCAATCAATTCTTTATAAGAGGCATTTGAATCATTTATGAAACATCACAAATTTGCTCTTTGATTTTTCTGGCAAAACAACTTTTCACATGCAAGGTTATAACACTAATAAAAGGTGAACAGCAAGATCTAGGAATGCAAAAATGAATGACCCATGGATAAAGATCCCAGCACTTTAACTGGAATTCACAAATTTGGGGGTTGTACAAGTAGAAAATAATGTCTTCATTTACTTTACATTTAAGCAGAATGTTCATACATTCCATATTGTATAGAAATAAAAACTAAAATGTCAAGTTTCCATTATGTTCTCATACCATTTCCTTTTTTTTCTGAAACAATGTGATAATAGATATCTAAAAACTGCTTATAATGCTTTTTTACAAGTAAATTTGCTCAAAATGTGATTGTTTTTCAGATGTATCATTTTCTTTCTCCATAAAAACAAACTATTACTCTAGTTATTCACCTATAACTGGTACAAAGAAATTAATGAATATAGAGTCAGGCAAACTATCAAATTATATTTAATTCCAAGTATATAGGCTTTTTAAAATGTCACCTCAACTTTTATCTGGAGAGATCATGCACTGGTATCTTTCATATATGGATAGAATAAAATACTACACATTTAAAATAGTAACTAATGCTGCTATTCTATTTTTTTTCATAATTTTAAGAATGTGAAGAAACAAAATCCCATTTATATTTTAATTTGAGAGAAGTTATACTGATTATAAAGGAAAATGCTCCCATCCCACCCACTTGTACCACAAAATGTTGAATTAGAGTAATGGCTTTTCTCTGCCTTTTCTTTCTAATTTTTTTTTTAAATTAATGTTTATTTTTGAGAAAGAGAGTGGGGAAAGGGACAGAGAGAGGAGGAGACACCAAATCCAAAGAAGGCTCCAGGCTCTGAGCTGTCAGCACAGAGCCCAATGTGGGATTTGAACTCAAGAAACACTAGGGGTGCCTGGGTGGCTCAGTCGGTTAAGTGTCCAACTTCATTTCTTGTTAGGATCTCAGGGTCTGTGAGTTCGAGCCCTGAGTTGAGCTCTGTGCTAGAAGCTGGGAGCCTGGAGCCTTCTTCAAATTCTGTGTCTCTTTCTCTGTCTGCTCTTCCCCCACTCATGCTGTCTCTCTCTTTCTCAAAAATAAAAATAAACATTAGAACAAAACAAACAAACAAACCATGAGATCATGACCTGAGACAAAGTTGGGTACTCAAATGACTGAGCCACCCAGGTGCCCCTACTTTGCATTTTCTGATCTCAAATGGTCCATCCGTAAAAATGGGAATTGAGAAAAAAATATTTTTGTGTGTTTCTGAAAATTTCCCTAAGTGAAAAGTAACTTATATTGGCAATATAAAATATTCTCAAAGGTATCACTGCATTGGCACCTACTTTCTACTTTCTTGATAAAATGAATTACTCTCATCAACAAAATAAAATGTGGAAAAATTACTTTATTTATAAAAATCAGAATGTTGCCTAACTACAAAAACTGAGAATTGAATATTTGTAGAAAGTTGGGAGATACTGAACCATATAGCTATTTCTAAGATGAAAAAACAAGAAAATATTAATAGCTTGTCCTGTGAATTTTCCTTTCCTTCTGTGTTCTTGAAGTACTTCAATAATAGTCATCTCAATTCATTATTTATGGTTACATGTCACTCTTTATCTATAACCTATTACTTAATATTTTGTCCCATTAATATTCAATGATGATTTCTTTAAGGGCATTTCATGTATTTGTTGAATGATCTTGTCCTCTATTAGGAAGGAGAAAGACTTTCAAAACCATGATGCTTTTAGGGGACCATATTTCGAGATTCATACATCAAGCTATACAGAAACAGAAAACAGAAATACTGAATGGCCAAATAAGTGACTATAAGCTCAATTTCCATTAATTCCTCATTTAGACTAGTGAGCTCACTGGTCTCTAATTGCCACAGTAAAATAACTTGCAGACACTAATTGTTCAATAGTGATGATGTAGCCTGGGAATTTTAAGCGTTTTAACTCCACGGTCTTGATGACAGAAATTCTCTCCCATAAAAGGATGCCGCATTGAACCCTTGACTTAAAACAAGGCTATAAATTAAGAGACATAACACTGATGATACCAGAAGTTTCCAGAATATGGAATGGTTAATTCTGTATCTGACCTATTCTCCTGCAGGAATTAGCTTCAATTTACCGAAGACTTAGATGTTAAGCGGTCGTTAGATAAAAGTCATTGGAAGTCAAAATGTAATGCCATTAGATGATGATGATAGCCTCCAAATAGCCATCATATTAAGAAGGGAATGCCAGTCATAATTTCGTTGTCAGAATGCAAAAGGGCATACTATTTAGTAATTCTGTTTTGCAACAGTAAGGTAGCAGTAACATTATATTCCCATTTATTTTTCTTCAAAGAATCTTCATTCAGTGCCTCACACCAGACCTCAAAGATAAAAGCAATTATTGAAACTTAGGGTGGAAAAGACAGTGAGACAAGAACAAAATAACCTTAAAATATTTTGAGGCCCAGTCACATAAAGCTGATGTCTGATTGCTTATGTTAATGACATTAACTCAGATCCAAAAAAGAATCAATGAATTTTCATGGGTTTAATTTTCCTTCTATCTTAGCTCATCTTTGGAAAGAGAAAACCATCTCTGACATTTAACTCAAAAGAAAACAGATGTTTCAGTGTCATATACACTTTGATAGGGAAAATCTGTTATAAGATGGTCGGCAGGACTGATAAGGAAATACCTGTCCCTGATCAAGGGATCCCACTTCTAGGTTCTCCTTCCCACCCTGCTTGTCATATGCATTAATGAGGAATGCGGAAGTAACAGGCTAAAAATTACTCCCTTTACTGATGCTCTGGGCTCAGACCTCTGGAGAATGATCTCCTCTGAGCCCATCAGTGTAAAATAAACCTCCTCCCTTCCAAGATCTCCGAGTGCCACTTGGTTCTTCTGCCAGTGATCCAGACCAGATTTCTGCAACAACTTGACCCTTCCTAACTGCCTTAGCTTTTCCAGCAAGATAGGAGGATTAAGATTAAGAACACACTGGTTCTGAGATAGAACTGAAATACAGACAGGCCTGCATCCTGCATGGGCCTAGTTCTAATTCAACAGTAAGGGAATAAAGCTCTGTTTCCCTCCACATAATAGCCTCTAATATACATACATCATTAACATTACAAACTGACCTCAAAGATCCCTCTGATGTTTTAAAAATAGCTCCATTGTGGTAAATTTAGGAACAATTTACTCCCTTAACTTTAGTTCATCATCTGCTTTAAGGAATGGAAAAGAAAGTTGGCTTATCCTTTGTCCATTCTACCTCACCTTCCAAGTACACCTAAAGATAGTGGGGCCCACAGGTCAGCTAACAGGAGACAATAATGTGTAGTGAGAGCATAAAATCATGAAAAACGGAGTCAGAATATCGTAGGTTCAAAAGCCATCAGTTACTATTGATGAGGGAGCATTTGGTGGGCTGAGGACAAAGTACAAGCTAGTACACCTATGAGTATGGGATGTGTATGATATTCTTCAGGCATTCCTGGCTGCTCAATGACAAAGGAAAGAAAAGAAAACAAATGGCCAACAGATAGATCTCATAGTCACACAGGACATGGGTCTCCATCAAATTTCCAAATATCTTAGTAAATTATAAGAAAAAGGCAACCTTATCAATAGCCTAATCTACAGAAACCTACAGACTCAGTTTTCTGGAGCCCCAACATCACCCCTCCATAATGATATGGGGAACAAAAGCAAGAAGGAAACAGGTAAAATTAAATTTCCTCATAAGCCGCAGCCCATTGACAAATACTTGATACAAATACAGAGTATAACATTTCCCCAGGAATTGCCTACTATCCTAATGTTAATGCATTACTAGAGGGAAAACAACTTTAGCTTGACAATAGCAAGGCCTCAGGTATTTTAGGAGTCCTCTTTTGCATATCAAAGTCCCTCTGGAGACCTCCCTTTTGACTTGAACTCCCGAATCCATAGTATAAAACCAGCCATTCTTCACAACCCCACCTCAGCTCTCACTGTCCCCATGCTTTAATAAAATCATCTTTTTGCACCAAAGACGTCTTCAAGAATTCTTTCTTGGTTGTTGGCTCCAGACGCACCCCGCCCCCCCGCCCCCCCCAGCATCCCCCTAAATCCTTATCACAACCATGTGGCCTTGGGAAGTTTATCCATTGTCTCTTGTTCATCTCTACAAATGAAGAGTTTTAGCTCTTAGGAGGGTTAAGTGAGATAATGTTAACAGAATCAAAAATGACATTTACTACTAGTGGTAACAATTGATAATTTTGCTGTTACTGATAATTAGGGTGTAATATCCAGTTGTAATATTCTGATCCAAAGAGTTAATTTGTGTGACTTGTATTATAGTTGTAACATCTAACTACTTAAGTCTATTCACTGAAGCTTTTAGTGGTGAAATGATACAGATTTAAAATTCTCTATAAAATTTTTTTCAAGCGTGGGGATGCGGTAGATTGATGACCAAAAGTCTTCAGTTCTTCTCCCCTCCTCATCTCCACATGCTTTGCATATAACTTT